ACAGGAACACTGAGGGATCGTGATAGGAACACTGAGGAGGCGCGATAGGAGCACGGAGGAGCCGCAATCGAAGCACTGAGGAGTCACAACAGGAGCACCGAGGATTAACAGCAGGAACACTGAGAAATCGTGATAGGAGCACTGAGGAATCATGATAGGAACACTGAGGGGCCGCAACAGGAACACCAAGGATTAACGACAGGAACACCAAGGATTAATGACAGGAACACTGAGGAATCATGATAGGAACACTGAGGAGTCGCGACAGGAGCACGGAGGAGCCATAATCGAAGCACTGAGGAGTCACAACAGGAGCACCACGGATTAATGACAGCAATACTGAGGAATCGTGATAGGAACACTGAGGAATCGTGATAGGAACATTGAGGAATCGTGATAGGAGCACCGAGGAGCCGCAATAGAAGCACTGAGGAGTCACAACAGGAGCACCAAAGACCCGCGACAAGAACATCGAGAAGCCGCAACATGAACGCCAAGGATTAATGACAGGAACACTGAGGAATCGTGATAGGAACACCAAGGATTAAAAACAGGAACACCGAGGATTAACGACAGGAACACCAAGGATTAATGACAGGAATACTGAGGAATCGTGATGGGAACATTGAGGAATCGTGATAGGAACACTGAGGAATCGCGACAGGAGCACGGAGGAGCCGTAATCAAAGCACTGAGGAGTCACAACAGGAGCGCCAAGGACCTGCAACAGGAGCACCGAGGATTAACAACAGGAACACCGAGGAATCGTGATAGGAACACTGAGAAATCGTGACAGGAACACCGAGGAGCCACGAATGGAGCATGGAGGAACGCGTGAGCATCACTGTCCGAGCCGATCCTGCCCTCCCCGAGCCGCCACCCCCGCGGGCAGCGCAGTGGCCTCCGGGCCGGGGGGACACTGCAGACGGGGACACGGTGAGCTAATTTGGTGGCGTTAATTACAAACATCCCAGCCGAGTGACGGGCAGGGGAGCTGGCCCTCTCCCCGTGAGGCTCTGCTAATTAACGACCCCCTCCCTCGGCTGATGTCAGCCCTCCTCCAGAGGCCGTCAGTGGCCCTCATTAAGGGCTCCTCAGGATGAGTGTCCCCTCCGCACCGACCCCGTTTTGACAGTGGTGGTAATTACACAACTCCCGCCGGCGCAATGACAATAATTACCCAGAAACGAGTGGAGAGGTGCCAGGGGGAGATCGGTGGAGAAATTCGGTCCTGGTGGGAGAGACGAGGCCCAGAACCCCAGGATCAGCTCATGTCCCCCACTGCCTGTGAGAAAAGGCACCATCAGACCCCAAACACCAAATCCTGGGCATTCCATGTTGGGAACTCCCACAGAAATCCCAAAACTGCTCCAGAAACGCTCATGTCCCCGACTGCCTGTGAGAAAAGGCACCTTCAGACTCCAAACACCAAATCCCTGGCTGGAAACTCCCCAGAGATCCCAAAACTGCTCCAGAAACGCCTCCTGCCATCCCAACTCTGAATGTGGAGCCCCAGCCATGAGCAGAGAGGTGCCAGGGGGGAGAACACAGAAAGTGGTGGAGAAATTCAGTCCTGGTGGGAAAGATGAGGCCCAGCGCCCCAGGAACAGCTTGTGTCCCCCATTACATGTGAGAAAAGGCACCTTCAGACCCCAAACACCAAATTCTGGGCATTCATGGCTGGAAACTCCCCCAGAGAACCCAAAACTGCCTGTGAGAAAAGGCACCTTCTGACCCCAAATACCAAATCCAAAGCATTCCCTGCCAGAAACTCCCCCAGAGATCCCAAAACTGCTCCAGAAACGCTCATGGCCCCCACTGCCTGTGAGAAAAGGCACCTTCAGACCCCAAATACCAAATCCCTGGCTGGAAACTCCCACAGAGATCCCAAAACTGCTCCAGAAATGCTCATGGCCCCCATTGCCTGTGAGAAAATGCACCTTCAGACCTCAAATACCAAATCCTGGGCATTCCATGGCTGGAAACTCCCCCAGAGATCCCAAAACTGCCTCAGAAACTCCTCCTGCCATCCCAACTCTGAACGTGGAGCCCCAGCCACGAGCACTGAGGTGCCAGGGGGAGATCGGTGGAGAAATTCGGTCCTGGTGGGAAAGATGAGGCCCAGCGCCCCAGGATCAGCTCGTGTCCCCCACTGCCTGTGACAAAAGGCACCTTCAGACCCCAAATACCAAATCCTGGGCTTTCACTGGCTGGAAACTCCCCAGAGAACCCAAAACTGCCTAAGAAACACCTCCTGCCATCCCAACTCTGAACATGGAGCCCCAGCCATGAGCAGAGAGGTGCCAGGGGGGTAAAACATGGAAAGTGGTGGAGAAATTCGGTCCTGGTGGGAAAGATGAGGCCCAGCGCCCCAGGAGCATCTTGTGTCCCCCATTACCTGTGAGAAAAGGCACCTTCAGACCCCAAACACCAAATCCCTGGCTGGAAACTCCCCAGAGATCCCAAAACTGCCTCAGAAACTCCTCCTGCCATCCCAACTCTGAACGTGGAGCCCCAGCCATGAGCAGAGAGGTGCCAGGGGGAGATCGGTGGAGAACTTTGGTCCTGGTGGGAAAGATGAGGCCCAGCGCCCCACTGCCTGTGAGAAAAGACAACTTCAGACCCCAAACATCAAATCCTGGGCATTCCATGGCGGGAGACTCCCCCAGAGATCCCAAAACTGCTCCAGAAACGCTCATGTCCCCCACTGCCTGTGAGAAAAGNACATCAAATCCTGGGCATTCCATGGCGGGAGACTCCCCCAGAGATCCCAAAACTGCTCCAGAAACGCTCATGTCCCCCACTGCCTGTGAGAAAAGGCACCTTCAGACCCCAAATACCAAATCCTGGGCATTCCATGGCTGGAAACTCCCCCAGAGATCCCAAAACTGCTCCAGAAACACCTCCTGCCATCCCAACTCTGAACATGGAGCCCCAGCCATGAGCAGAGAGGTGCCAGGGGGAGATCGGTGGAGAAATTCGGTCCTGGTGGGAAAGATGAGGCCCAGCGCCCCACTGCCTGTGAGAAAAGACAACTTCAGACCCCAAATACCAAATCCTGGGCATTCCATGGCTGGAAACTCCCCCAGAGATCCCAAAACTTCCATCCCAACTCTGAACGTGGAGTCCCAGCCACGAGCAGAGAGATGCCAGGGGGGAGAACACAGAAAGTGGTGGAGAAATTCAGTCCTGGTGGGAAAGATGAGGTCCAGGACCCCACTGCCTGTGAGAAAAGACACCTTCAGACCCCAAATACCAAATCCTGGGCATTCCATAGCTGGAAACTCCCCAGAGATCCCAAAATTGCCTCAGAAACAGGTCCTGCTGTTCAAACTCTAAACATGGAGCCCCAGCCATGAGCAGAGAGGTGCCGGGGGAGAACACGGAAAGCAGCGGAGAAATTCAGTCCTGGTTTCCTGGTCCAGGAATTTCCTGGGAGAAATGAGGCCCAGCGTCCCAGGATCGGCTCATGTCCCCCATTGCCTGTGAGAAAAGGCACCTTCAGACCCCAAACGGGATTTTTCGGGATTTTTTCAGGGTTTTTCAGGATTTTTTTTTACTGGTTTTCAGGATTCTTCAGGGATTTGGGGGGTTTTCAGGATTTTTCAGTATTTTTCCCCAAGATTTTTCAGGATTTTTTTGCACGGGTTTTCAGGATTCTTCAGGGGGGTTTGGCATTTTTCAGGATTTTTTTTCCCCAGGATTTTTCAGGATTTTTTTCCAAGATTTTTGAGGATTTTTTTCCTAGGTTTTCAGTATTCTTCAGGGGTTTTCAGGATTTTTTTTTTTCTCCTAGGATTTTTCAGGATTTTTTCCCCCCAAGATTTTTCAGTATTTTTTTCCAAGATTTTTCAGGATTTTTAAGGGGTTTTCAGTATTCTTCAGGGTTTCAGGATTTTTCAGGATTTTTTTTCCTCCTAGGATTTTTCAGTATTTTTTCCAAGATTTTTCAGGATTTTTTTCAGGGGTTTTCAGGAGTCATCAGGGGTTTTTGGGATTTTTCAGGATTTTTCAGTAATTTTTTCCAAGAGTTTTCATATTTTTTCAGGATTCTTCAGGATTTTTTTCAGGATTCTTCAGGGGGTTTGGGATTTTTCAGGATTTTTTCCCCTAGGATTTTTCAGTATTTTTTCCCCATGATTTTTCAGTATTTTTCCCAAGGTTTTTCAGGATTTTTTTCCGGGGTTTTCAGGATTCTTCAGGGGTTTTCAGGATTTTACAGGATTTCTTTTTCTCCTAGGATTTTTCAGGTTTTTTTCCAAGATTTTTCAGGATTATTCAGGATTTTTTCCAGGGGTTTTCAGGATTCTTCAGAGGGTTTTCAGGATTTTTCAGTATTTTTCCCAGGATTTTTCAGGATTTTCCGGGATTTTTTCAGTGGTTTTCAGGAGTCATCAGGGGTTTTGGGGATTTTTCAGGATTTTTCAGTAATTTTTTCCAAGATTTTTCATGTTTTTTCAGGACTCTGCAGGATTTTTTTCAGGGGTTTTCAGGAGTCATCAGGGGTTTTCAGGATTTTTTCAGGATTTTTCTCCCCCAGGATTTTTCAGTATTTTTTCCAAGAATTTTCAGGATTTTCCAGGATTTTTTCAGGGGTCTTCAGGGGTTTTCGGAATTTTTCAGGATTTTTCAGTATTTTTTCCCAAGATTTTTATGTTTTTTCAGGATTTTTTTTAGGGGTTTTCAGTATTCTTCAGGGTTTTCGGGATTTTTTTGGGAATTGTTTTTTCCCCCAGAATTTTTCAGTATTTTTTCCAAGATTTTTCAGGATTTTTCAGTAATTTTTTCCAAGATTTTTCATGTTTTTTTCAGGGGTTTTCAGGAGTCATCAGGGGTTTTCGGGATTTTTCAGGATTTTTCTCCCCCAGGATTTTTCAGTATTTTTTCCAAGATTTTTCATGTTTTTCCAGGATTTTTTCAGGGCTTCCCACAGGATTTGGGGGCTCGGTGGGAACTGCATCTGGAAAATTCCCTGGATTTGTGCCTCCCCAGGAGCTCAGATGGTGCGGTGGCTGTACCTGTCCGGGCTGGTGTTCGCCGTGCTCATCCCAGCTGGGTGGCAAGTGGCTCCCGAGGGCTTGCAGGACCTCTCCAGGTACGGAGCCGTGTAAAATTTTGATTATTTTGAGTATTTTGATTTTATTATTTTGAGTATTTTGATTTTTTTATTTTGAGTATTTTGATTTTTTTTATTTTGAGTATTTTGGGTTTTTTATTATTTTTCTTATGCATTGACAGTTTGTTGTAATATTTAGTTATGTTTTATTTTTTTAAAGTATGTATGAGAGCAGTTCATTCATTTTATGATTTGAGGAGAAATTGAAATAATTGTTGTGTTTGATGCTTATTGATGGGTATTTGGGTTTTGTTGTAGCAGAATTGATTTATGAGTGATTTACATGCAACAAACTCAACCACCAACAGACCCGGGTTGGGGGAGGAGTTCATCCCTCTCATTTCCCATTGCTGCCACATTTTTCCCCATTCCTGTTTATCCTGCATTGATCCAAACAAATTCCCAGTTCTGGGAAGGGACATTCCCATATCGGGAATCCCGGGATTTCCTGCCTGGGACTGAGCCCCCTCCAGTGCTCCCACAGCTCAAATTCCTTTGGAATTTGAATTTTGGAATTCCTTTGGTGGATCCCAGATCACCCGGGAGCTGCAGGGGGATGATCCAGACCTGCTCCGATGGGGGAAA